CGCCAGTTTTATGGAAATTGAGTTAGTATTATGATTAAGTTGACATGGTGGTGTTGAGTTTTCTCACCGGATTACTCAGATTATAACGAATTGAATCATCATGGCTGACATCTTTATTCCCGTCTCGCTCTCTCTACCGTGCGCATGCTCAGGGAGCATACCATACAACAAGTTGGCGGGGGGGGGGGGGGGGGGGGGGAGAGCAGTTATGAATTATTATGAACACACTACATCCCTCCTTTTTCAGAATCTAACAATTAACTTTGGTTATGAATCTTAATCAAAATGAATAAACTCCAAACTTGGAAGTTATTTTTAACCATGTCCATAAACATTGAACTTATAACTAAAACTTATTTGTAGCCATGTCCATAAAAATAAACAACCCATAGAAATTTAACTCGTGCATGAAATCGCGATAATAATGAAATCTGATTTTAACAAAGTTATCCTCAATGCCGGGTAACCGTGTTCTTAATTTACGTTTGAAGAGAAGTTCTGCGGGGCTCACACCTGTCACTGTGTGAGGAGTTGTGCGATAACTCATTAAATGATTGTCAATTTCCTCCTTCCAGGAGCGACTTGTTCTGCCTCTCCACTTCCCCATTGGCTTGAGGCCAAAGAGGGGTCACGCGTCTATGTTCTATTCCTTGTTCAGCAAGGAAATCAACGAATAAGTCTGCAATAAACTGAGGACCGTTGACTGTTGTGATACTTAACGGTAATCCGTGTGTGAGAAATATTTTTCTCAAGCTTTTGATGATCCGCTCAGTGGTAGTACTCCGCATTGTGTCAGTACTCCGCATTGTGTCGACCTCAAAGTATCTACTAAAATAATCCACGACTACAAAAAGATAGTCACCAGATGGCAAACACATGAGATCGGCTGAAACAGGTTGCCATGGACCCGTTGGTAGTTCAGTTGGTTTTGTTGGTTCTGGTGCCTGAGGTTGGCTTACAAACTGACATGCATGACATGTTTTACAAAATCGTTCTGCGTCTCTGTCTATTCCAGGCCACCATACTTTAGTCCGTAGACGGCGTTTCATACAAACAACCCCTGTGTGTCCCTCATGGGCTACCTCAATAACCATTCAACGTAAGGTCTCGGGAATGAGAATTCTTGTTCCCTTAGAACTAGCTGTCCTACAATACACAGCTCATCTCTGAGAGGTAAATAATGTTTGTTTTCCAACTTGTGCCACTGCTTACTGCGAATACACTTTCTTAACTGTATGAGGTCCGGGTCTACAGCTGATGCCTCTTCAATTTCCCTTGTAGTCAATGCCCGGGGTGTTGCATGCTGAGCCACAAATCTGATGTACTCCTCTGCATCATTGAACTGGTATTCATCAGTTATGTTGGAGTTATTTCCCTTGCCCTTGTCATCTATAAGTCTAGATAGAGTGTCAGCCACATTTTGTGGTCCAGGTATATATTTCATTTTGAACCGGTAGGGCTGGAGTCGTAAAACCCATCGGTGAATCCGAGCACTTGATTTGCCTGTGTATGTAGCAGAATAAATGCATTCCAGTGGTTTGTGGTCTGTATGTAATTTGAACTCTGTTCCATATAAGTACATATGTAGACGTTCACAAGCCCACACTACCCCTAGAGCTTCTCGCTCTGTCTGTATTTACGTTCGGTCGTGGTCAGACTCTTACTAACATAGCATATGACACGGCGTTCTCCGTTTTGTTCTTGTACTTGCATCAGTGATCAGAACTGTTTTTGTATTTCTATCAAAATAACCCAAAGTTTCTGTATTTGCCAAACGACCTTTCAGCTCTCGAAATGCTGTTTCCTGGGAATCCTCCCAGATAAATGGTTCTCCTTTCTTTGTGAGACGGCTTAGTGGTTCAGCCACTGTAGACAAATTAGGGATAAATCTCCCCACATAGTTGACTAGTCCCAGAAAACTTCTTATCTCCCCTGGGTTATTGGGTGGTCTAGCCTCAATCACAGCTCTTACCTTTTCAGTGTCAGGACCAATCCCGCGAGCTGAGAGTAGGTGTCCCATGAACATTAGTTCAGACATACGGAATTGACACTTGTCTGGATTTAATGTCAAACCTTTTTCCTGTATGGTCTTAAGTAGAGACTCTAGCCTGGCGTCATGTTCTTGCCCAGTAGGGGCATGGACGATAATATCATCAAATATGTTGCGCACACCTTCACAACCTTGTAGAGCTTGCTGGATCACACGTTGATACATTTCTGGGGCACATGATATACCAAACATCAAGCGTTTATAGCGATATAATCCCTTGTGAGTCACAAATGTTGTGATTGAACGTGATGCTTCATTAAGTTCGATTTGGTGAAAAGCTAACTTAATGTCCAGCTTACTGAATACAGTGCTTTGATTCAGGTCATACAGTACTTCCTCCACTGTAGGAATAGGGTGTCGTTCCCTTATAATTGCTTCGTTAGCCCTTCTCATATCCACACAAAGTCGAATATCTGTATCTCCCTTGGGAACTACCACCACTGGTGACACCCATAGTGTTGGCCCATTTGCTTTTTCTATAATGTCAAGTTTCTCTAACTCATCAAGTTTGTTTTCTAATTTCTCTCTCAAGTTAAATGGAATTCTTCTCATACTCTGTGCTACTGGGGTGACAGATTCATCTATTGGGATATCTAGCTCAAAAGACTTTACTTTCCCAAGTCCCTCAAAACATGACTTATATTTCTTCACAAGTTCATCAGTCCCTAACTGTTCTATTGAGTTTACCTGTAACTGCTGATGGTCGGTATTAATCTTCAGAACACCAAGATCTGTAGCTGACTTGTATCCAAGAAGTCCTTTACCTTTCTCGCGAACAACTGTGAACTCTGCATCAATTGATCTGGAACCCACAGAGACATGTGTCTGGAAACAACCTATCACATTCATAGATGTTTCACTTCCGTACACAAACAGATTTTTGACCGTTTTCCTTGACATGCATTTCACTCGTTTTTGTTTCAGTTCTTTCCACAATTCCTCATTTATTACATTGCAGCTTGCACCGGAATCAACTATCAACGAGATATCAGACACGCCACCAATGTTAACTTGAATCGTTGGTTTTTTACTTTCATCTACCAGAGTAAAAGCATAGTCAGTTTCTACTAAGTGAACATTTGACTTGCCTGTACGTTTTTGACCGTTTCGTGTCGTTTCCTTGTTCCGTTGTTGTTTCGTTTTACAACATTTAGCCAAATGACCGATTTTGTGACACTTGTGGCACTCCTTATCCTTGGCAAAACAAGAATCTGAATTCTGTAAGTGTGTTGTGCTTCCACAGCGATAGCACTTCCGGTTTCCGGTCTGTCGATCAGGTTCAGTTCTGCGCTTAGAATGGTGTACTCGATTTACCTCGCCGGTACCGCGTGGTGTAGTCGGTGTCCCCTCAATACTAACGGCTTGTTTTTCACTGCTTTCCATAGCCCTTGCGATATTTTGTAGCTGATCCAGGGTTAAATCTTTCCCTTTTTCTAGTAGTTTACGTCTGAGATTGTGAGAATTACACTTCTCGATGACCTGATCCCTTATTTGATCGGGAATATCATTAAAATCACAGAAGGTTGCTTGTTGTCGTAAGCTTGTTATTAACTGATCGATTGTCTCTGATGGTTGTTGTGAAATGTTTCTGAAAATATGTCTCTCATATGGAACGTTGACTTGAGGTGTAAAATACTTATCTAGCTGGCTCATGGCTACCGTGTACACCGTTTCGTCCGTGTGCTCACGAGGCTCAATTGCTGGGAAAGTGAAATAAATGTCCTGCATTTGCATTCCACCACAATGTAGCAATAACGCTTTCTTCTGTGCATCTCCAGTTACACCTTTCCCTTCCACAAAAAGTTCGAAAGCACGCCGCCATTTCTTCCACCTTGCGCCAACTGAAGCTGGGTCAGAATGACAGTCAAATTGGGGAATCCCACCGATATCTGTTGAAACTGGAGTCGCCATTCTCACCAATTAAATGTGTAGGTTCTTTTTACCGCCATCCTCGTCGCTAATTGTTGAGTTTTCTCACCGGATTACTCAGATTATAACAACGAATTGAATCATCATGGCTGACATCTTTATTCCCGTCTCGCTCTCTCTACCGTGCGCATGCTCAGGGAACATACCATACAACAAGTTGGCGGGGGGGGGGGGGGGTAGGTGGGGGGGGAGCAGTTATGAATTATTATGAAGACACTACAGGTGGTATTTTCTAGATTTTAACCAATCGATTGGTTGGAAATAGGTGTAGCAATGATTGTATTGTGTCATCCATACCTGCCGATATAACGTGACATCTTTCTTTTGTTTATACTTTGCCGTGACAGAACGATTGATCCACGGCGAATCTTTTGAATTTTCAATTTAATAAATACTTTATAACTACAGCATATGATTAACATCACTATTGCTATAAATATTGTGAACCTTTATCCTTGACTAGCTTGAAGACAATGTTATTTGGAATAACGCTTGATATTTGCAACTTACATTTGATAATTTACATTTTCACATTACACTTAATTGTAGTTCATACTTCATGTGACTTAGAGCCAACCTGCAGTATTTACCACTTGCAATTGAAACAAATTAACAGCATCAGGTGAAATATCCTTCAGATCAAATAACGATAATTCACATTGTAGTAACACCCGGAAAAAATACTTCCTCCAATTTGCTTCCACGATTTTCAACCTCTTGGCATCGCAGTTCTATATGATATGTACCCTTAATGAGCCCCTATGGTAACCAAATAACCGAGGTGGTCACGTTATTGGGGGTATAGTGTCTCGTTTAATGTCGGTTTGATTTTGATATCACGTTATGCTGTATTTTTTTGTTTTAGATTAGATATAAGAAACTTAAACTTTACCATTTGTTTTAAATGCATTTATTACCAGAAGGACGAAACAGCTGGACGATACAATTTAGTTCATTGTTTGGCTTCACTTTATCTCACTATAACCTTGTATCAAATGGTGCTATTCGCTTGTATATCTATTTGAACAGTCTTCTAGATTGCTCGGTGCAAAGGATATGATGATCCATTCACCGTTAAACATTTTTATAGGACTTTATTGACCTTCTATCTACTCGAGAATGTTTTTATCGTAACATTACATGTCTAAAAAAAACCCTTTTTAAAACTGTTGAGATTGATAAGATTATACATTTCCCGAAAGATGTTGGTCTAATAATAGACTAATACGTACCATTTTAATATTTTGTGTTGATATACCCATTTAAGATTGATGGTCCTAATGACCTTTTATGAGTTGACGGGCCGTTAAGATTGTAATAATAATAATAATTCTAGATTGTATATGGTATATGGTAGACGCTATATGTAAACCAAGTTTTAATGGTGGCGCGGCTCAGAATACACATATAAACGTAATATTGTTCTAAAATTATCTGATATATGCAAATTATTGAATGATAGGGCTAGTGCACCTATCCCATCCAGATTTCAACTTTTTTTCGGTCACTTTGGAAATCCCTTAGTCGCCTCCTACTCTTCAAAGTTTAGGCCCTTAGCATCACTGACGATTTTTAGGAGGACGAAGCAGCTGTATGATGTAGCATCACTGACGATTCCTAGGAGGACGAAGCAGCTGTATGATGTAGCATCACTGACGAGTCCTAGAAGGACGAAACAGCTGTATGATGTAGCATCACTGACGATTCCTAGGAGGACGAAACAGCTGTATGATGTAGCATCACTGACGATTCCTAGAAGGACGAAGCAGCTGTATGATACAGTTTACTTCGTTACTTGTCTCTACTGTATCGAACTTTAAATTTGTATTCAAATATGTTTCTACGTTCATAAGAGGTCCCATGGAATTACACAATAGAGTAGCTCTGAGTCTCTTAAGTAATGTTTTTTAAACAGATTTTGACACAAGTTGGTCATGCGACGTGAAAAGTGAATCAGGGTCATTCATTTGAGGAAATTCAGTAGCTCTATATTCCTGCTCACTCAACCTTAACTAACTCTCAACATGACTAACGGGGAATGATGAACTCAGTAGCTCTATATTCCTGCTCATTCAACCTTAACTAATTCTCAACATGACTATCGTGGAATGATGAAACTCAGTAGCTCTATATTCCTGCTCACTCAACCTTAACTAAATCTCAACATGACTAACGTGGAATGATGAAACTCAGTTGCTCTATATTCCTGCTCACTCAACCTTAACTAACTCTCAACATGACTATCGTGGAATGAAACTCTGTAGCTCTATATTCCTGCTCACTCAACCTTAACTAACTTTCAACATGACTAACGGGGAAGATGGAACTCAGTTCATCTGCATTCCTGCTCACTCAACCTTAACTAACTCTCAACATGACTAACGTGGAATGATGAAACTCAGTAGCTCTATATTCCTGCTCAATCAACCTTAACTAACTCTCAACATGACTAACGGGGAATGATGAAACTTAGTTGATCTGCATTCCTGCTCACTCAACCTTAACTAACTCTCAACATGACTAACGTGGAATGATGAAACTCAGTAGCTCTATATTCCTGCTCAATCAACCTTAACTAAATCTCATCATGACTAACATGGAATGATGAAACTTAGTTGATCTGCATTCCTGCTCACTCAACCTTAACTAACTCTCAACATGACTAACGGTGAATGATTAACTCAATAGCTATATATTCCTGCTCACTCAACCTTAACTAACTCTCAACATGACTAACGGGGAATGATGAAACTCAGTTGCTCTATATTCCTGCTCACTCAACCTTAACTAACTCTCAACATGACTAACGGGGAATGATGAAACTTAGTTGATCTGCATTCCTGCTCACTCAACCTTAACTAACTCTCAACATGACTAACGGGGAATGATGAAACTTAGTTTATCTGCATTCCTGCTCACTCAACCTTAACTAACTCTCAACATGACTAACGTGGAATGATGAACTCAGTAGCTCTATATTCCTGCTCACTCAACCTTAACTAACTCTCAACATGACTAACGGGGAATGATGAAACTCAGTAGCTCTATATTCCTGCTCACTCAACCTTAACTAACTCTCAACATGACTAACGTGGAATGATGAACTCAGTAGCTCTATATTCCTGCTCACTCAACCTTAACTAACTCTCAACATGACTAACGGGGAATGATGAACTCAGTAGCTCTATATTCCTGCTCACTCAACCTTAACTAACTCTCAACATGACTAACGTGGAATGATGAAACTCAGTAGCTCTATATTCCTGCTCATTCAACCTTAACTAACTCTCAACATGACTAACGTGGGATGATGAAACTCAGTAGCTCTATATTCCTGCTCACTCAACCTTAACTAACTCTCAACATGACTAACGGGGAATGATGAAACTCAGTTGCTCTATATTCCTGCTCACTCAACCTTAACTAACTCTCAACATGACTAACGGGGAATGATGAAACTCAGTCGCTCTATATTCCTGCTCACTCAACCTTAACTAACTCTCAACATGACTAACGGGGAATGATGAAACTTAGTTTATCTGCATTCCTGCTCACTCAACCTTAACTAACTCTCAACATGACTAACATGGAATGATGAAACTCAGTAGCTCTATATTCCTGCTCACTCAACCTTAACTAAATCTCAACATGACTAACGTGGAATGATGAAACTCAGTAGCTCTATATTCCTGCTCACTCAACCTTAACTAACTCTCATATTCCTGCTCACTCAACATGACTAACGTGGAATGATGAAACTCAGTAGCTCTATATTCCTGCTCACTCAACCTTAACTAACTCTCAACATGACTAACGTGGAATGATGAAACTCAGTAGCTCTATATTCCTGCTCACTCAACCTTAACTAACTCTCAACATGACTAACGGGGAATGATGAAACTCAGTAGCTCTATATTCCTGCTCACTCAACCTTAACTAACTCTCAACATGACTAACGGGGAATGATGAACTCAGTAGCTCTATATTCCTGCTCACTCAACCTTAACTAACTCTCAACATGACTAACGGGGAATGATGAACTCAGTAGCTCTATATTCCTGCTCACTCAACCTTAACTAAATCTCAACATGACTAACGTGGAATGATGAAACTCAGTATCTCTATATTCCTGCTCACTCAACCTTAACTAACTCTCAACATGACTAACGGGGAATGATGAACTCAGTAGCTCTATATTCCTGCTCACTCAACCTTAACTAACTCTCAACATGACTAACGGGGAATGATGAACGTGTTAATTGTAATTTGCTTCTTTTTCAAAACTCTTGCCATGTCTCATGTGTTACCTTTTTCGATCATTCTATCTTAATTTTTGCTCCGCTCATTAAATCTTCATCAATTCTTTAATAGTCACAGATATAGATTTGTAACCTGGTATAAAGTCGAACATTAATAATATTCAGGTCAGATTGTGATTCGGTTAGGGTGTTTTTCTATAGTTCCGGCCATTCATCTGTACGGATTTTAGGTAGCAGTACAGTTTGTCGGTGTGGCCTTGGGTGATATTTTGTGAGTACCTCATTATAAAGCTTTTAATTAAAATCTAAAGACTAAATTAAACCTGTTAAAGCTTGCTACAATTGGTCTTGTCTTGTTAAAAGTGCATAATTTGGGGTTTTCATTTTTTTTCAAGATAATATTCAGCTTTGTGTTGGTACGACTTTTATTTTAGATTCCAATCAAAAACAGTAAGAGTAGAGAGTTCCAGATTTCCCTTTTGCTTGTCTCTACCACATCTGATGTTTTTCCTGTATCTAGACATCGGAAGTAATTATGTTTATCTCACCTGATGTATTCCACAGTTTGTTTGTATCGTCAAGAATGGTATCGAGATTTCCGGTAATATGTAGTTCATGTACTAAGTTCAACTAACCCATATTGAATATTATCGCCTGGATGTATCAAGAACAAATATATTTTTTGATTTAGGAAGAAATTACACAGAATTTGATAATAATTTT